TGCTCAACTTTGTGCTCACTAGCGGACAAGGCTGATTTTTTTTGCACGGTTGGAGACGCCATGTGTGCACGGTGCACAGGTCATATTTTCTAAGGTTTGAATCTCCGAGTTCTCAAGTTGCGGAACAAGCAACAACAAAACCACTAAAACAACAAAACAACACCCCCCAAACACAAACACCCAACCAAAGAGAACAAGGCGCCAAAGAGAAACATCGGAGTTTCATTTCTGTACATCTGTGAGACACGGTGAAAAGGAGCAATGACTGCTATCTACCTGGGCCGTGAAGTCGGTTGAGCTGAAGTCGAGAGTTTGTTGGTCAAAGTACGAAGAGGCATCGGGCGAAAGGCCTGTGCCAACAGGCCAGTGCACGAGCACTTGCAGGCGTGAGTGCTCAAGTGCAAGATCTCAGCTCATTTGTGCTGCGCAGAGTCCAAATTTCAAATTGCGCCAAAGGAGTTGTGCAAGCCGAGAGTCGCACGAAAAAACTCCCTCAAAAAAGAGGGAACAAGTGCAGCACATAACGAGCAGGCTCCTTAACAGCTAAGCCTACAGGCAAAAACGAATGTGCTGAGTGCAATCCAAGTTAGATGGCGATTCGACTCTTCTGCGGACCCGCTTCCATCATGCATGGCCCTGGTGAAACATTGTGAAACCTGGTGAACCTAGTGTGATGCCATTGTCCACTTTGTACCAGGTTGGCAGGGCACGGACCCACGCCCAGCACAAGAACTAAGGTTCTCACCTGGGTTCCAACCAACTGTCTATCCTACCGGTGCGCGCTGCCTCAGTTTTTTTTGGCTCCAATGCCAGCTCACAAATTTCTGATTCAATGCATCCAATAGAGCTCGGTCTTCGCATTTGGTCTGGTTGTTTTCGACCTCTCAGCGCGCGGCCTTCCGCCTGATTGGTGGCTTCGGGTCAGGGATCTGTGGCTGATTGGGCTGAGGCTGAAGCGTGGTGCTTGCTTGGGCTGCTTGGGTGCTTGCTTAGCTGCTGGCTTTGGCTTGGCTTTGATCTGTTTGCCGCTAAGCATGCCAGTTTCCACTCCATCTGTGGCAGTTTTCTGCAAATTGTTTTCAATTATCAAAGTCTTGAAAAATTGTCTGGTCAAAAAAAACTATGACTCAACTTCTCAACTCCAGAATATGACTTGTGATCTTTGCTTTGGTTTGTTTTACTTTTGCATCCCCAAACAGAGGATTTTTTTAACGCAAGAAACCAAGTCCTTGTTTTCAGCAACACTTGCAGAAGCAGGTAGAGGCTTTGGAGCAATGGCGGTAGTAAATGAGATGCCCTTGGACTGTGCTGAGGAACTGGCTGCACGAGAATGAACAGCTCTTGCAGCTTCATCAAAGATGCCTTGAGGAACCTGAGCTCCTAAACTTAGCTCTCCATCATGCAAGAATGTATTGTGGGCTACTTCCTTCACGCTTCTCCGCACACGCTTGTGCATCCCCTTCATGTCATTGTCAAAGACATCGACGCCCTGGTGCTTCACCTTTGGACCAGGTCCAATTACAAGATCAAAAACAATACTTTAATTATTATAGCTATATATTTTATAATGGTAATAATTGTAAAGTAAAACAAAAGTATGTAATATGTATGTATGTTGACTCACCCTGTCCTATATCATTTTAGCCTAACAGTGACTATGACTCAGACTCGATCTCTCCGAAATAAAACAAATGTAGCAATGCAAAGACAACTTACTCCATTGACGGTCTCTTCAATTATCAAAGATGGATCGGGTTCACAATAAACTTCGCGGTAGCGCCAAAGCTCCATGAAATAGCTTGGAGGTGCTTCCAATCCTTCTTCATGACGGTTGATGAGATTGACAGCCACCTTAGCTGCTAGAATGCCTTTCTGGCGGAGCTCAAACTTGGCCAAGAAGGGATGTAGGATGGTCGGGTCTTGCTTCTTTGCTTCCTTCAACTTGCTGACGGTCGCATATTTTGCAGGCCATACACCAACCAGCCACACAGTTCTACATAGCCGGCAAATGTTCCCACGGGGATCCTCAGCAGTGCCTCAACACTGTCAACACCACCACACAACCCACACACCAGCCCCGCCAACACACAATCACATCCCGGATCCCCCAAGTCACACAAACATGGTCAAGTCATTGCGGTGATAACACACAGGTGCTTCAGAGTCACAGGTGCCTCAGAGTAACGTCCAGAATTCAGTGCTTCCACATTACAAGCAGTATCTCACCAGAAAACAAAACATAAACCAACAGTAGTCCAGGCCTGTTCACCAAACCAGGAACATTGTCAGCAACTTCGGCTTGGCTCCAGACTTTTCATGCAGCCTTTTTGCGCTAATTTAACGCCCGACTTATGTCTCACACCTGTTTCACCTTGCATGTACACTCAAGAGTCTCTTGCTCGTTTCTCTGGTTGTTTGTGGTTTGTTGTTTTTGGGTTGGTTTGGGTTTGTGTGGATTTTTTTGTTGTTTGGCACTTCACGCAAGAGACTCTTTCAAAAACAGCACAAGCTGACCTATGGATTTCCTGCATAAACGGCGGCTCCACCCGCCTGGCTTCGACTTTTCATCGTTTTCTGACGACCAGTTGCAGTTTCCCCTCAGTTGATCGCCGACAATGTTGGCGCATGGAAATTTGCGATTGACAAACGCGTCTTGTGCGCAATGTTGAAACGCCAAGCAACACACCACTCCAAGCAACTGAAGTGGATAGATCATGAACAGCAAGCCAGCAACAGGTTCGGCAAGAATCGCCACGCGACGGGCGCTCAGGCGTTGGCAAGGATTGGATCGCGGAAGCCTGAATGTCTGGCCCAACACGCGGGCATTTCTTGAAGCCAGTTCTGGCTTCAGTTTTTCAGGTCGGGCGGGCTTTCATTTTTGAATGGGCGATTCCAAAATTGGCTTGGAATCCTTCTGAACGACTCAGGTTCACAGATTGTTGAAAAGGTTCACAACATTGAAGAATGTGAAAGAACGTTTCACAAAAGGCCAAAGACTGTAAATTTGATGGATAGGACACAGCAAGAACCATTGTATCCCAAGGCGCTTGTCAAGATTTAGCATGCACCCTGTCGGTGCACCAAGTTCAAACGAACCGCGCAGTTGTTCAGGTCAAAACGGTGACAGTTTAGCTTAGAGAGACACAGGATGGAATTTCATTGAAAGCGTTGAGGCAAAAGGGAAAAGTTGTCCAAAATTGACAATTGTGTACAAAGTTGAAAAACGGTTTTACGTTTGTGGAAATTTGTTTCACTGCGTATGCGTGTCAAGCACCGAACCGCAGATGACTACATCACTACGAACAAAACGACATGTTGCAATGTGTTATTTGTGAATGTTTTGATTGAAATGATTTCGAAACCATCATTGAGAGCAGTTCGATAGCCCAACGCGATGTTAAATAGTTGATGTAGATCCTATGTTCAGATGGAACTCAGGCTTACGCATCTGTTTTTAAGGCGGGTGTTTACCATATACATACCAATGTGAATTGTTGCTTAGTTGAAGTTAAAGACAACGCTCCAATATGTTTTTGGCACAAAAACGAAAACGTGAGCGTTTTGCCATGTTTGACATGTGGTGCAACATGTTGAACTTTCGGCTGGAGTGCTTTTTAGGAGCTCCATGATTGAAAATAAGTGGCAAAGAAACGTTGCATTATCGCGTTCCAACCGAAGATGCTGCATTGGGAGATTTGATGTAAACATTTAAGAGCATTAAGAACTATTTTCATTGTGTCATTTTTCGCACAATAACAGAAACCCTTTCCAAATGAGCAGATCAACGATTTCACGCGATTATATTTGTTTTTGTATTGCAGGGAAACACTTGACATATTTTTTGCAGGTTTGCCATGAATGAAATCACAAGTCTGAACTAATTGTCAATTTGATTTCAACTTTTCAATTTCACCCCTTGGCTGCAATCGACTGGGTGTCAAATTTGTACAAATGTTTTGAACTTAGGAGGCAAGAAATGTTTTGGTGGCGACATATCTATCCTGTGTACATTTGCCGTTTGCTTCAATGTAATGGATGGAATCATGTATGTCATATCAGCAATGGACCTAGACAACAAAACAAAACCCCCACACCTGTTTTTCCAACATAAGTTCAAACTCTTTGATCAATTTGGCATTTTTAAGGTACATGTATATACACAAAAATAACGTTTAGATTCATTTTCATGCATGACTTCATTGTCGGCAATGTTGCAATGTCGGATGTTGCGAAGTGAACGAGGCCAAAGTATGTGTGATTTATTGTGCTTAACATTACAATTGCTTGGTTTGTGATTCCAGACCTTAAAACTCCCACGTTTGAGATGGCCGAACCTTTTATTGTGTGCTTGTCATTGGCAGATGAAGCCACAAATTGTTGCAGATGAGTAGGAGGAGGCGCTTGGAAACTCAGACCCAGTGCAGCTACACAGTCTGGTGAATTGCTTGGATTTTTGCAATTTTACTTTCGAGCAAGGACGCTACTAAAGTAGCTCCTGGCATTACTACTAGGAACAAGGACGCTGCTAGTAGCTCCTGTAGTTGCCCGGTTTCGGATCCCGGTGTTTGGCCAGGCTGGAAGGATCAATGAGAGCAGGTCCACTTGAGACACCAGGCGCTGCCCAGCATTTCCATGATCCGGACGGGTTAACTAGTTGTTCACAGCATGGGTCACACTTCCAGCCTCATCGCCAATCAATCTGTTGCCTTCAACAGTTATTTCAGGAACAAACCTCTGCCTGAAACATGTTGATACATGGTTTGCCCACACATTTACCAAGCTGAATAGCCACAAAGAGGCTATCAAACATGGTGATACGCACCAGGGCAACGCTTCTGCTCCATGATCAACAACTTTAACACGTGCTACAACGTTGCCCTTGCTGGTAGGCCCCAAAGTGCTGAAAGATGAGGGCCTGGTATACACCATCCTGATGTGGCCTGGCATTTCCTTGGTCACTATGTTGCTCGACTAGCAAGTCCACATTTGGCTCTTCTGAGGTGCTTGAGCCTGAGAGAAGCAAGACACTTGTGGCGTCTGCGGCGCACCTTTTTCAAAGTGCTGAAGGACAAGGCAGGTTTTGACATTAAGGGTGTGTATGGTGCATCCTCCTTGACTGCAAAAAGTGTAATTGAACACTTCGGGTTGTATGTATGTGTATACGCTATCACAAATCTATCGTTCTTGTTCAAAGGAGTCTCAACGCAGCAGAGACTTTGAGATAGTGTTGTCGACAAGTTGAGATGTCTCCATTGTTTTGCCAGGTAGTGCCACTTCTGGCCCTTGCTGAAAGGGATTGGAGTCACTTGGCAAGACTTCTTTATTCAATTATGCATTCCCTAACAGTTGCTGTCAGCTGACCCCTCAATTTGAGAAATCTGGTGCATTCCTCGAAATTGAGCTGACAGAAAATCATTATGCTTTAAGGCGTCGTCAGAGTCTTCATGGACAGCGGGGCCTTTCGCTACAATCTGGACTCAGTCTTCACCGAGGTGACGACTTTCTATCGCTTTTGTTCCTATTGCTTGTGTGGAGGAAGGGGTGTGACCTTCAAGCACTGGCCATGCCGAGGCCGTTCTGGACAGCGACTTCGAGGGCTTGAGGATGCTGGCAGAAAGGACGGATGGTGCGAGAACAATACCGGTGTGGACACCTTTTTTGTTCATAGATACAATTTTCCCCAGTTCTTACTTCTCTTGGAACCGGTCCCTGATCACAATTTTTCGCCTGGAACCATCGAACCTCCCGAGCCAGGTAGAGTTTCCCAAAAGGTTTAGGAGCCAAATCATCAAGCCTGTCAGGCTTAAACTGAGCCCTTCTGCGTCCTAGGTATGCTTCTTAAGCTGAGTCCTAGGTAGTGCTTCTTAAGCTTAGTAGCTACCCCTTACTACTAACTTACTACTAGCTACTTATATAAGTATTTATACATACACACACACACAAGCTCACCCTATGGCCTAACCCCCGTTTGAAAATCACATTGCAACTTTCTGGAGCCATCCCGTCCCAACTTGCCTGCCCCATTTTGCGGATGTTGCGGTGGTTGACAAGAACGACTGTTTGTCAGAGAGCCTTGTGCTTGGGTGTATTCTTCATGAATTGCTTCATGAGTTCCATGAAGCATCATGATGGTGTATGTTTTCAGCGCAGTCTTTGCCCTTTTGAAGCAACATCTTTGCCAGAGGAATGTATCACACTAATGTTTTGTGAATGCAGGAAATACACTTTCAACCAGCAAGACTTCGCGGCCTCGGATGCAAGGCTGACCTCCTTCGTGCAGAAGGAGAGGGTGCTTTGTGGCACAGAACAAAAAGAAGTGTTCCTCGTTTTTGATTGTGAGCTGTTGTTTTACATGTCCCAGGGCCCAGTCTAAAGCCGAAGCTTTCATGTGCGGTACTGTTGGATTCCCGTGGACACAGTTCATTTCTCCCCCGATGCCTGTGATCTTCCATCCACATTCCTCTTGTTTCTTATCCCCAACCAGCCAACCAGTCGAGTGGCGCAAGACAAACCTATGGTTTCTTGGCGGCTTTCTCATTCAGATGGTTGTGAAAGCCAGTTGCAAGAACACCTTCAATCATCCATGAGGGAACAGGATCTGGTGCTTCCAATAAGCGCTGTTTTTGTCGGCTTCCAACTTCCATTGCAAGCCCCCCTGCCAGGTAATCCCAAACAGCCCAAACAAGAAGTCTGCAGCATTTCAACGTGCTGATGCAAACTAATGTGCGATCTGTGATTTGGTTGAAATGCAGCATGGTGGGCTTTATTTCCAACGCGATGAGTTGCAAGATCTGTGCCTACAATCAAAGCTCATTCCTTTCCTCCCTGATCTTCCTTGTCACTTTAGTAACAAGAAGCTACTAGGGGCTCCTGGCATCGCTACTAGGAGCAAGCACGCTACTAGGGGCTCCTGGCCGTACTACTAGGAGCAAGTAGCTACTAGTAACAAGAAGCTACTAGGGGCTCCTGGCATCGCTACTTGTCGCCTTTGCCATCTGCTTCGTCCCCGAGCTGTGTGGCAAATCCAGGCCCTGACAGCCGTCGTTCAACTAGGGGTTGTTCTCACTGTGTAGCTTCTTGCGGTGGAAAGGCACCTGGTCCAAGTCCAAATGTGCCCATCCTATCCTGTTGAGCCTGTTGAGCATGCAGCTGGTTTCTGGTTTTTGCATATCGGCAATACAAGAAGTCCTTCCCATCCTTTTGTTGCTTGATTAGAAGCCCATATCCTTGTTGAAATTGACCACTGGTAGTGGCATTCCATCGTTATATTAGGGGGTGATCTTACTTGAGTTGCTAGTAACCAACAGAGTATGTTGGCGAGTGACGCAGCGGCAGCAATAGCGACATTTTCCATAACACATGAACCAAAAACCCAAGCAACGGAGTGACAAAAGCCAGGGGCTGCCCGAACTTTCCGTGCGCTTGTGCTTCAAACCTTTTTCCTCTGCCTCTTGAGATGCTTTACGGATCGAACTGTCGGAAACATAGCCAAGAAGGCCCCAATGGCACAAAAGGGATACCACAGAGGGATAAATTCATCTGGGAAGCAGCCGTCGCCAGAAGTAACAATTGCATGGAAGGCTTTTTCCAGACAAATCATGCTGTTGTTTTACCAAAGAGACTCATTTACAAACTTGGCCTGACAAAAATATGCTTTAAGCAAGGAGGATGGAATTTGAGTGAATGAAGACTTCCATTGTAACATAGGAATTGAACGTGCTATCAGAAGTACTATCATAGGCATGACAAGCTTTGTGATTGTGGGTTTGACTTGAGCCTTGAGGTGTTGGATGCACGATTTGTGCTTTACTGTGGCTGTGTAGCAATCATCATGCAGCAGGCTTTGCGCAAGGGCTACGTTGACAAGCTCTCCTTGCTGCGATCCCTGCGCTATGATCTTGACCAGGTATATGATGTTTCCAAGAAGTTGAGATGAAATTCTATCAAAGATGCATTAGCATTCCAGTACTTGAGAATCCGCTGCAGCGGTGCAGGAGGTGCAGTTGTGCCTGGCAAAAGGGGGTGTTGCGGAGCAGCTGCTCAGTGAAGGGTGGCAACCTCAGAGCGATGACCTCCAACCTAATAGCAATGGCCTCCAACCTAATATTAAGCGTTTGGAAGCCTGCAGGTGAAGAGTATTTCAATTTTACTCTATTTTATCACTATTATTGTTACTATTATTCCCCAAACAGTGTGGACATACTTAGAGGTTCTTACGGTAAGGGTTAAGCAGCTGTGCTTAGATCGCTGGGGTGCGCGGGAGTGTGCGGCTAATTCGCTGCTATTTACAGTACATTCATGCCTCTCGAAATCGTCGACGTGTCTTTCGACTGCGCAGGCTCGCAAAATCTGGGGGCCCGCGGCGGGTGCTTCTAGCGACTGTGCTCTCGTTGTGATGTCGTGCGCATTTTCGCACATGGTGCTCACTTTGACATGGTGGTGATCTTCGAGGCGCTCTGATTTCGTGACAGGTGCAGTGACTCATGTGGGTCGTTTGCAGATTTCGTGGCAGGTACAGAACTTTGTGAACCTCGAAGTGCGGATTTCGTGGCAGGCCTCACTCACTCTCACAGCACTTTCTCACTTTCACTCATGCTCACACTAACTCTCACACTCACAATCATTCTCACTCACTCACTCACTCAGTCACTCACTTGACGCGTGCTCTGGTGACTGTGCTCTCAGATGTGTGCTCTCTGGACCTCTCCAACTGTAAGCTTGCTCTCATATGTATGCTCTTTAAGCCGCTTTCCCGACATTTAGACATCTGTTTTCTTCAGACTCTTGTTTTTACATTGACCTGGCGTGGTTACACCCAGCTGCCTTTACCCGAAAGGCTTTCTTATTTGCACTCTACACTGTTTGGGGTCTCTTGCCGGGATCTTTTTTTTTCCTTTGGATGTGATCTGGGTTTACAGTTTGTTTACACTATTTAATGAAGCCGCAACTGGATTATGCGGATAGAGCCATAACACATTCTGCTTATTGCAGCCCTGGAGTGCATATTTAATAAGCCTATTTAGTAAATTTAGTAGTCCTCAAACTATAAAACATCAATTTAAAAAACAAGAACATATATATAATAAATTCAAATGTGCAGCCTTTATTCACAACCATTAAAAAACCATATCTTCAACTTGTAAAAAACCACCTAAAATACAAAAAAACAATATATCTGGAAATGAACCCTGTGCAGAGTTTATGAAGTCTTAAACCGTGCCGTTCTGAGTTTGCAATCCTTAAAGAGCCAATATTCGATCCCAAGATGTCCATCCAGAAGCAACGTCTGAGGTCCATTACGGTGGACTTTCTGGGATCCAGGAATTCATTTCGCTTCTCAATGCTGGACCGAGCCGTTTATTGTCATTTGCTTACTTTATTCAAAACGGTTCCGACAACAACAAGCAAACTTGCAACAGGACTTGGCAACCACCTCGTACGCAGAGAAGAAGATCCACAGTCTTTGCAAGCATCGTATCTACTTGTACAAAGTACAGCACACAGACTTGTGTCGAATCACAGATGTTGTCCTTTGCTATTTTTTGTCAACAGCATCAAATGGTTTTACTTGGTTTGGTTTGTTTTCCACGCTTTTAACATGTTTGAAAGCGTACCCTTGTGCAAGCAATGGTGCGCGTGTATCCGAGGTTCCTTTTGTGCTGTCCTCTTTTCTGAAGGCAGGTGCAGCCACCAACGCCTTTCTCCAGGTCGACAGCTGTGGGCCGGATTCCTAAAGAGCTGTTCGTTGGTAGGATGGAGCATGGCTTCACTAGCTTTTCTGAGAATGCTGTCAACATATATATTTGTCATTGACAAGGAACGTCCTTGGTCTTACCTTGCATTTTTCTTTCAGGTATCTTTTGCTACTGGCTTTGGCCGCAGAGTCCTTTAACTTTGTGTATTTGCTGGTGCAGGAGGCGGGCGTAGGCACTTGCAGCAGTGATGACAAGTTATGAAGTATTTGTAGGATTTGGTGGGCTGCAAAATACGGATGCAACTAGGACACTACTAGGAGCAACGGGCATCGCTACTAGGAGCAATGACGCTACTATGGGGCTCCTGGCCTTACTACTAGGAACAAGGACGCTACTAGGAACATCAACCCCGAGCCCCAAATCATTGAGATTTTGTCAGTACAGTTTGTTTGGTGTAGCATGGCAGCTAGGAACGGACAAGCTCCAGGTGCATGATACTAAGTCAAGTCACGATAGATTACCTTGGCACTTCTATCATGAGGGTCATTGAATGAAGATGGGGTCGGAAAGAAGGATTTGTTCTGAGTTACTGTGGAATGTGGAAGGTTCTTTTGATCAAGTTGCATCATCCGTGAGATCTTCCTTGCCTGAGTTAGCCTGAGTTTATGAGGAAGCTGTCGCGCAGGCCGTGAACTTGCAAGAGGTGCTCGCGAGATACAGCTCCGAGCTTTTGCAGATGGTGAGTAAGGCCTGGTGATGTCGGATTGACTTTCGGACCTTGTCACCACGCAAGAGACAGGCCTTAACGTTCTTTGTGCAAAATATCCAAAAACAGTTGGATCTACTGGTACAACACTGCCGGCTCGTTGTTTTTGCATAGTTGACCCCTTGCTCCTTGCTCAAATTGCTTGACCTCTTCTCAGTGGTCACGCTGGTAGGTACTGGACTTCTAGAAGAAGCATCCATGAATAGGAATTTGGACTCTCAGCTCACCACAACTGGACCACAACAGTGTGTTTTCAATTGAATAAATGTATCCTGCCTTTTAACACACAAAACAAACCAATAAGGGCAGAATGGCCGGCCGGAGTACCATTTGTGAATAGGAAAAACCGCTGATGAAGTTGGATTGTCTAGAGTCTAGACTTGACCTTCTTGGGCCCTCTGATCCAATTCAGATTCTAATGGTGGAAGAAGGCTCAAGGGACGAAAAAAGAGAGGAATAAAAGGAAGCATTTAGGCGCCTGTACTGTAATGCGGATACGGCCGCTGATATATTGTATTGTTATATAAAGAGACCCAAACGTCTTCTATTGTGCATCTCTGTTTCTTTTGTTTTGGCTCCGCCGACTTCTGTTCTGGACTTAAGATGTGCCAAATCCAGGCGATGGGTGCCCGACCCGGTGTTTTGGACCTCCTCCACTTTTGTGGCTACCAGCTTTCGCAGGAGCCCTTCCTTTCGTCTGCTGTTGATTCCGAAAGAAAACCAACGAGAAAGGGTGTCCAAGGAGTTTAGGGAGTTGATTTCGAGTTATACCTTGTACTACGTTACTACGCTTTGTAGTGTAAGTTGAGGTGGTGGGATAGTTATCTAAGCTACACCCCATCTAGCCTTTAGTCACTTTATTTTTTACTCAATCTTTGCTTCACATTGCTCAAACACTTCGAGCTGCAAAAAAGGAGCAGAGAGCGTTGCCGTGGAATTGTACCACTTGGTTTCTGCGGGTTCAGTGCTTCCTCAGTGAAGAGATCATTGGAGTCTCATCGCAAGCTGTAACATTGCTCTCATGCGATCTTCTGCGAGTGCAAGAGTCAGGAGCAGCAGCAGTTCGATGTTCATGTGTTGGCCTCCATCAAGTCCAAGGACCTTTGGGCCTTTGGGTCATCGCCTATAGGTGTGAGCTGAAATGAGAAGCTTGTTTTACTAATTACATTTTATTACATATATATATATATATGTATTTACATATTTCAGTGGCATTTGCGAAGCATTATGTTGCTGCGGCGTTGCTCGGTCGAAGCAATGGGAGGACTTCGCAACAGTAGAGCGAATTTCGAAGTTGGGCTTTGACCTGCAGAATTTCGCAGAGCGCGAGCAGGTGCTCCTTTTGTTTTTTGTGAATGAATCCAGGAACCAAATAGTGCGAGCATTTCTTCAAACAAGCTCCCCCTGCCCTCAGGCGGGGGTAGCTTCTCTGAAGAAGCTTGAGCTATTCCGCTTAATACAATAGGCGCCTACTTAATTAAGTAAGGGTGAGGGCAACGCAGGCTTTAAAAGAAGAAGGAGAACAGAAAAAAAACAAAGTTTTTCGCAAGACCATTTGTTCGTTGCCAGGCTGCATTAAGCCCTTGGCTTCAGCAAGGGTTGCAGGACCGACGTACACCGGGTGTATAGACGCACACAAGCAAGCAAGCAAGTGTTTGAGGAGTGGTTGTATAGGTGTTGGGGGTTTGCCGAGTTCGTTTTGGCTGAGCATCAGCAACGATTAACCACCGCCAGACTCAACGCTCAATTGACAAACTGCTGGCGCACCTCGAGGTGTGTGCAGGAAATGTAGCTGAGTGGTACAGAAGCGAAGCGGTGTTGGCCAAAACCTGAGGTGACTAAACGCGACAGGTTGAGCAGCTATGCGGCGAAGCAATTAGCTAAATGGTGAGTTTACTAAGTTGTGAGCTGGAAAAGTATTGGGCTGGCCAAGTGTTGACCAAGGCATTGAGTAAGTTTGGCGAGCCGGTCATGTTGTGTTGCAGACAAAAGTGTTGGGATAGCTAAGCCGCTAAGCCTGAAGCTAGCTTGCTGCTAAGTGTTGCTTTGTTGTGGCTATGGGGCTATGTGGTTGTCCAGTGAGGTAGTGCCGTCTTGTTAAAGTGAAAGTAAATGAATTCCTGGCCTCAGTTGCTTACCACATTTACCATATCAAACTTGAAACATCAAGGTGCCATGGAAATTCAGAGTGGCCACCAAAACTGAAGCCGCTCGAAAAGGAGAATGTACATAAATACATCCCCAACCAGACATTTGGAGAACAACTCACATGCCTTCTCAAATTGCTGCACACTTTCCACTCAGCTTAAGGCTTGTGCAGAGTTGCATTGCAAGCAACAGTTTCAGCTTCGTGTTGGCCGGTCAACTTGTGATGATAAAGAATTTGACCATGGTGACAGGACTTGTGTGAATCTGTCTGGACCTCCAGACAATCATTTCATTATTTTTCCAGCGCAAACCCTTCTCAGTTGGTTAGCATCAGGAATTTGTGATTGTAGCCTGTTCTTTGGTCGAGAGGGGACGCGCTGAAATCGCGTTGAAGACCTGGCTGAGGATGTGTCCGATGAGCAGACAGAAGGCCGACTATGGGTTAAGCTCCTCACAGAGTCATTTGGTCATAGAATCTGATCTTGTTTAATTCGTTGCTTTGCCTCTTCATACGGTGTACTGAAGGACAAGCTCTTTTAGAATGCTGGAGAGTTTAGTCATTATCTATGCACATAGGCGAGCCCACTCGGGGCACATAATGAATTGCAACCCATTTTAACCTTAAAGGTGCTTCCGCTGAAGTCTTCCCAGAAGTGGACGGGCCACAGGTACATCGTCGACCAATATGGCAGGGGCCATACGAAGCCTCGCTGAAATTGACAGGCCAGGTGTATACAGTGAATGAGAGTCACCGAGGGCGGGAGTGTAAGACCCTGAAAGCTGGGAGCTAAGCGATGTTGTAATCTTCATTCGAAACAAAGAATCTTGTGGGTGTTTGGACCAGGGTAAAGGGGGGACTTGGAGCAGAGTCGGGCCGTTTTGCGGAAAGCTTTTGTGCCAGCTTCGGAGGGCTTGCTTTCGAGGCGAGTCCTGGAGCTTCATTTCCAGAGCCAAGTGTCGGGATCTCAGATGGGTTCGGAAAAAGTTGAGGCGATGACGGTCAAAATGAGGGCGTGTAGGGAAGGTGCTGGACTCATTTAGCGCAGGACTGAGGCATCAGTTAGACTAGGACGATTGCCTAGATCTACACCTTACATTATATTACATTATATTATATTATATTACATTATTATATATATATATACACATGAGATTACAGACCTCTCTCTCTCTCTATATATATATATATACACATGTTCTTGTACCCATATGGCATATGCCATATGCATCCTTCCACACTTTGGAGGTTCTTAGACTATGCTGGGGAGCTGATGTCCAACAAGGAGTTTGTTCAGATGAGACACCTCGTGGAGGTGGGCCGCAAAGCGTGGGGTCAGGATGGGCCATGTGGAAGCTAAGGCGACACCTTGTGCTGTGTCCTCCGCCGCGCTTTGCGCCGCAAAGCAGGTTCATCCCTTTGCCTTCAAGGCTTACTTTGAGGAGAACTACAAAGCCATGGAGGACTTTGAGACTTTAGACGATGGCAGTTCTCGGTTTTAGACATTATATCATTGTAGTGTTCTTTGGGCGGGAAGTGGTTCTGAAATACTCAGGGGATTAAATACTCAGTGGATTTGTTGCCCACGCAGGATCTGTTGTTTGATGCCTTTTGCCGACGGCTGGACACCTGGCACAACTTGCCAACCTCGAACCTGTGGGGCTACCACCTGGATGACGATGATGCAACGAAGTCACTGAAGGTCCAGTCTTTCTGTTTTCTCGCTCCTGAGGCAGATTGCACTGATTGTAGATTTGACATCCCTGCATTTGCCGATTGCCCCCTTCCTGGAAAGCCACCAGGCCGGAATGAACCTTGCAACCTTTTGCACACATGGCTGGTTTGCCTAGCTTGTGTAGTCACTGATGAGTTGATCACGAAATAGTAGAAGCAAAGAAGAACCTTGCAGAGCGAATGTATGACAAACTTTGTGGTCGCAAACTATGTACCCGTAAACATTGGCGCAGGGGCAGAAGAATCTGGTTAGTGGATTGGTTGCTATTGAGTTTCCCTAAACATCTAGGAACCAAATGAATAGTGTGTGAGTGTGTGAGCTATTCTGCGTCCATGCTAGTAGCTACTACTAGCTACCGTTTGTATCTACTAGCTACCTCTGGCGGCCTACCCCAAAAAAAAAGTGACAAAAACAAGTTGTGACTTCTTTGTTGTAGCAGGAATCACCATTTTCGTAGGTAGGTGGGAGTCCTCCCAGGAAGAGCTGGACACGGTGCTGCAGCAATCGTGGTTTGCCTCCAAGGCCAGATTGGGCCGGAAGGAATTATCCTTATTCCTTCAAGAGTATAAACAAGGATAATTGTTTTTCATTTTTTTGGTTTACAGGTTGAGTGCAATCAGCTGATACCGTAAAGCCTTTGCCATGATAACAGTTTCTCTTCTTTCTCTTCTCCCAGGCATGGACCGAATTGGTCATGCTTCGCTTGGAGGCCAGGTTTATGTGAGAAGTATGAGGATGGGATATGAGAGTTCACAGAGCTTTGATGACATATGTTGAAGATCGTTGAAGGGACCCAGCAAGAGCGGAGGAACAGAGACAACAGTCTTATACTTTTCACGAGGTGTTGGTCAAGAGGTTACGGTTACAGTCACAGTATTGAGTTTACGACTTGTTTGCCTTGAGGTCCACTCTTCAAAAGGTAGTGTTGCGGATGTCCTTTGCAGGTCCGGGCCTTTGACTTTGCCTCCTTTTTCCGGAGGACGTCGGTAGATGCCTCAGGAAAATAGCTGAGTGAGCTTTGTCCAGATTATTGGGCTACTCAGATTCCCTCATTAATCCGTCATCAACATGGTTCTGAGCGAACAGTAGCCATTTTGGTGGCTCAAATTCGACATTTTGCCCGAGCAGGAAACAACATTCTTGGCTGGTTTGCGTTGGTTTGCTTCACTGTACCAGCATGAGCAAGTATGGAGCATTGTCCAGATCGGAGGGGCATTCGAAATGGTTCCTCCAGAAGACTTTGTTGGAGCACGACAAGTCCATGGACCATCCATGGATGCAGATGATTTACAAGCAAGTCTTCAGCTTGAAACAGTATGCCTCATGGCTGGTCTTGAACCGAGGCCTTTTCAAAGCCCTGGAGGCAAAGTTGGATACAGAGCCAATTTGTCGGGTGCATGACGAGGGGCTGCTGCGAACTGCAGCCTTAGAAGCAGATTTGCGACGGCTTTTGGGTCCCAACTGGGAAGAGGAGTCTGAGAAAATCGCTTCCAATTCCTCAGCACTGAAACAGTATCTTCAGAGTTTAGAGAAAGATGCCGAAAACAGCAACCTTTTGTTGGCCCACCACTTCTTGCAGTACAATGCGGTGCTGAGTGGAGGAGCCTATCTGGGGAAGATGGTCTCCGAGAAGCTTTGTGTCCCTCATGGGGCGCCGGGTGTGAAGTTCTATGCCTTCGATGGTGTGGCAGCAGGAAAGGAATCGGTGCGGGTGCAGAAGTACCTGCAAGACTTTGATCAGATAGAGATGGGCGACGAAATTCGCCTGCCTATGCTTCGTGCCATGAAACGAATTTATGCCGCCACTGAAACTATGATGTCTGAAATCTTCGAGCTGAATCCGGTGAAGGGCATAAGCTATCGATCTTCCCAAGATACACCTGCTGCCGAGAAAGCAGAGCCCTGCGCAGAGCAGTTGGAACTGACATTGGACGAGCTGCAGGGCTTTCAGGGCCAAGATGGTGGTCGAATCTTGATAGGAATAGGAGGTGAGCTTCTGGATGTGAGCTCAGGGAGGGAGTTGTATGGCCCAGGTGGTGGCTACGCAATCCTTGCAGGACATGATGTGACCAGATGTCTAGCAACCATGAGCTTGGAACCCGACCACTTGGATGATTTTGAGTGGAAACCAGACACGCCAGAAGATGAGGAGGCTTTAAAAGCATGGCGAGAGCGACTGAAGGAGAAGTATCCATTAGCAGGACCTTGGGGTGAGAAAATTGGTTGCTAACTTAATTTGGGATACCATGATTGAAACCTCATTTCCTTTGTTTGACCATTTAGACATGGTTTGCTGGGAGAAATCCTTTTTGGCAGGAAAACTGCGAGCAGGTGAAGAGGTGAGTGCAGACTCAGGCTTGAGGATGCGGCGACCGAACAGCACAAAGGTTGACGCACCCAAGGTTGAAATGCCAACCGTGCCGGCCCAGCCTGTGCAGCCTGCGCAGCCAGAGGAGCGGTGTCCCATTTCGGGGAAGCAGGGGACTTGCCCAATGGCTTCCATCATGGGCATCACAAAGGAGAGCACTGCAGCACCTAGTGGAGCCAGCACCTCTGGTGGATCCACCTCCTTCATGAAGGGCAAGAGCCTGGTGGCAAGTGTACAAAAAAAGGACACAAATCTCGCTGCTAGAATCTAGCGTGCTGAGTTGACTAAAGTTTAAGGCAAAAAAGTAGGGATTGGAAAACAGTTATCTCAGATTTCTGCAGCAAGCTGCAGACGATGTTCTTTTCCTGAAGGATCTGGAGGATTCCCTGTTCTATCGACTTTGTCCACTTCATTGGGATGACAAGACCATCAAAATGGTGGCCATGATTGCAGTGGCATCTTGGATCAGTGGCATCTTTGTGGGGTGGAACCTGCGGAAGATGATCGCGCGATGATGGTATGAGCATGGATAGATCGCTCTGTCATATTGGGTTCCCCTTCTTTTCCTGGGGTAGCTTTACTCCCCCCTGGGGGGAGCCCAGCAGCCTAACAGAAGTCTTTTGGAAAACAATTACCTTGAGAAGTTGATACGTTTTGAGACATACCCCTGCAGATCCAAGCCTCAGAATGCGACAGGCTCAAGAATAGCCCTTTTGCTCTTTTCAGCCGCAGCACGAAGTGCCTCGCAGGCTCTCAAGTTTTGCTGGGTGACATGGTGAACAACCAGCCCACGCAACAGATGCGGGGCTGTCTGGAGTGAGGATTCGCATGCGTCGTTTCAATAAATTTGAGAAGCAGCACCGGCTCTTTTAAGTATCGATCAGTGTTTGCCCTGCAGTTGCGACCTCCAATTGCGCAAGTTATCCAGATGCTCACTTCACACTCTCATCTGCCTTTCCTTCAGAGACTGGAGGGACAACCGTGCTTGATCTTGTATGTCATCTGTGTTTGTTGTCATTTACGTCCCTGGTATGTTTCCAGTGTTTCCCATCAACCGAGATACCTTGGTATTGCGGTGCGTATGTCCGTTGTTTGTGACTTTAGGTTTTGCAAGATTGCCAAGAGTGCATGATTTGATGCCGACCAAGGATCACATTGATTTTGCTGTCATTGACATTATCAAAGATGGATATTGGCCGTCGCCTCAAAAAGATACTGGACGTTCCAGCGGTTCATGCGACTCTGTATTGTGTAGACTGCAGACAGCTAAAGAGCTATTGACTTCTCCCTTGCGCAACCACGTGGCACATTTGCTCAAGTCTGCTTTCAGACCGGCGCCCAGGTTTGATTTGCACAAGCTGGCACAACTGGACTTTGATTTTGACCAGTTTTTTGACCGTCGCTTTGCCGAGGCATCCGCAACTGATACGGGCATTATTTAATGCAAAGGAATACATTCAATGAGCTCGTGTCAGTGGGATATGGTTCTGATACTTCTTCAAATACGGGTGGTTTTTGAAAGTTCAGTACAAGCGACGATGCAAGTCAATGCAAGTATCCTCGAGTCGTTCAATAGCATGCTCCTGCGTGCGCTTTCCTGTTGTCATTCTTTCATTGAACACATTGAAGAAGGCATCCCTGTTGTTGTAGACACGGAGCAAAGAGCCTTTCATCAAAGGACGTTTAGTGTACGAAACTTCCGTGTTACGGACATTCAAGAACTGTTCATCCACTCATCAATACACCACTCATCGATGCACCACTCATCATACACCACTCATCAATACACCACTCATCATACACCACTCATCATACACCACTCATCAATACACCACTCATCAATACACGACTCATCATACACTCATACACCACTTATCATACACCACTTATCATACACCACTCATCATACACCACTCATCATACACCACTCATCAATACACCACTCATCATACACCACTCATCATACACCACTTATCATACACCACTCATCATACACCACTCATCATACACCACTCATCATACACCACTCATCAATACACCACTCATCATACACCACTCATCAATACACCACTCATCAAACCACTTATCATACACCACTCATCATACACCACTCATCATACACCACTCATCAATACACCACTCATCAATACACCACTCATCATACACCACTCATCATACACCACTGATCATACACCATTCATCATACACCATTCATCATACACCACTCATCATACACCACTCATCATACACCACTCATCATACACCACTCATCATACACCGCTCATCATACACCACTCATCATACACCACTCAACGTACACCACTCATCATCGTTAGCTCTAGTTGCAAGAGCTCTAGCTCCAGGTAGCTCTAGTTTTCATAGCTCTAGCTCCAGGCAGCTCTAGTTTCAAGAGCTCTAGCTCCAGTTTACGTGGCAGGTGCACCACGTTGTGAACCTCCATGTGCAGAGTTCGTTGCAGGCACAGCGCTTTGTGAACCGCGATGTGCAGATTGCGTGGCAGGCGCAGTACTTTGTGAACCTCCATGTGCAGATTTCGTGGCAGGCACAGCGCTTTGTGAACCTCCATGCTTCTCCAAACCTCGACGGGGAAGCTCCCCGGAACGACGGTTGCGAGACGGTCTCGGGTCATGGTCGGATCACGGTCGGATCACGCTCGGATCATGCTCGGAATCGCCCCTCCATTGTGATTAGAGGTTTCCGTTGTTTCTTGAAGTGCAGATTTCGTGGCAGGCGCAGCACTTTGTGAACCTCCATGTGCAGATTTCGTGGCAGGGCACAGCACTTTGTGCGCCTCCATGCGCAGATTTCGTGGCAGGCGCAGCGCTTTGTGAACCTCCACGCGCAGATTTCGCAGCAGGCGCAGCACTTTGTGAACCTCCACGCGCAGATTTCGTGGCAGGCACAGCACTTTGTGAAGCTTGAGGTGCAGATTTCGTGGCAGGCACAGCGCTGTGTGAACCTCCATGTGCAGATTTTGTGGCAGGCGCAGCACTGTGTGAACCTCGAGGTGCAGATTTCGTGGCAGGCACAGCACTTTGTGAACCTCCATGTGCAGATTTCGTGGCAGGCACAGCACTTTGTGAACCTCCATGTGCAGATTTCGTGGCAGGCACAGCAGTTTGTGAACCTCCATGCTTCTCCAAACCTCGACGGGGAAGCTCCGCGGAACGACGGTTGCGAGACGGTCTCGGGTCATCGTCGGATCATGGTCGGATCATGCTCGGATCATGCTCGGAATTGTCCCTCCATTGTGATTGGAGGTTTCAGTTGTTTCTTGAAGTGCAGATTTCGTGGCAGGCACAGCACTTTGTGAACCTCCATGCGCAGATTTTGTGGCAGGCACAGCACTTTGTGAACCTCCAAGCGCAGATTTCGTGGCAGGCGCAGCACTTTGTGAACCTCCATGTGTGAACCTCCATGCGCAGATTTCCCTCCATGTGCAGATTTCGTGGCAGGCGCAGCACTTTGTGAACCTCCATGCGCAGATTTCGTGGCAGGCACAGCACTGTGTGAACCTCCATGTGCAGATTTCGTCGCAGGCACAGCGCTTTGTGAACCTCCATGCGCAGAGTTCGTGGCAGGCACAGCGCTCTGTGAACCTCGATGTGCAGATTGCGTGGCAGGCGCAGCGCTTTGTGAACCTCCATGTGCAGATTTCGTGGCAGGCACATGTGCAGTTTCGTGGCAGGTGCAGCTCTTTGTGAACCTCCATGCGCAGATTTCGTGGCAGGCGCAGCGCTTTGTGAACCTCCGTGCGCAGATTTCGTGGCAGGCGCAGCACTTTGTGAAGCTTGAGGTGCAGATTTCGTGGCAGGCACAGCGCTGTGTGAACCTCCATGTGCAGATTTTGTGGCAGGCACAGCGCTGTGTGAAGCTCGAGGTGCAGATTTCGTGGCAGGCACAGCACTTTGTGAACCTCCATGTGCAGATTTCCTGGCAGGCGCAGCGCTTTGTGAACCTCCATGTGCAGATTTCGAGGCAGGCGCAGCGCTTTGTGAACCTCCATGCGCAGAGTTCGTGGCAGGCGCAGCACTTTGTGAACCTCCATGTGCAGATTTCGCGCCAGGCGCAGCACTTTGTGAACCTCCATGCGCAGATTTCGTGGCAGGCACAGTGCTTTGTGAACCTCCATGTGCAGATTTCGTGGCAGGCTCAGCATCTGTGGGGCTGGAAGCTGAGAACTGGCGACTTTGTAGTACAACTTTAGTACGCGGAGTAGCTGAAGACCTGGAAGCTGAGAACTGGCGACCTTGTAGTACAACTTTAGTACGCGGAGTATCTGGCGAGCTGGAAGATGAGAACTGGCGACTTTCTAGTCCAATTTTAGTACGCGGAGCAATCTGTGGAGCTGGAAGCTGAGAACTGGCGACTTTGTAGTATCTGGGGAGCTGGAAGATGAGAACTGGCGACTTTGTAGTACAACTTTAGTACGCGGAGTATCTGGGGAGCTGGAAGATGAGAACTGGCGACTTCGGTAGTACAACTCTAGTACGCGGAGTATCTGGAGAGCTGGAAGCTGAGAACTGGCGACTTTGTGGTACAACTTTAGTACGCGGAGTAGCTGGGGAGCTGGAAGATGAGAACTGGCGACTTGGTAGTACAACTCTAGTACGCGGAGT